AAGGAAAATGACAGTCAAGCAGCTAAATCCAGAGTTCTGAAACTATCGGTAGGTCCAGTCTGAGTGCACACATGTACATGGAACAGCAGCCCAAGCCTTTTATCGTGAAGGGGAAACAATTATTATTATGAAAACATCATCATTCTTAAAAGATTTTCAAAATAGTGCTAGCCTAAAAGACAAGACTCATGACTATACCAAAAGCCTAAATTAATATTAAATGAAACTACACACTTAAAGAATACTGAACATGTAGCACTCATTTGGCTCTAACACTGTCTTCACGATGAAGACAGCCACCTCGGTGGATTCTCAAGTTAGAGTTTGCTATTAATGCAAACAACGAGGTTGGGGGTGGGCGGGGTGTGTCATAGTGGTTAGCCCCAGGTTACCAGCCTCCTACTCTGTCTGGAAGATACTGGTGGATCTTAGTTGCCAAGTATAACCGATGAACTGTTTCCCTGGAAAAGACAGTCATCTTCTCGCACACCCACAGACGATACACTACGATGAAAAAGGACTACTTTACTAGAGATACTAGTTGTATTAACTAAGGAACTATTTACCCTATATTTATTTGCTTTCTTTTTTTTGGTATTAAAAAAAAAAAGCAAAACCAAATCAGCTATCTGCAAGAGTGGTAAAAGGCAGATTCAATGAACTGATAGGAAAATCAGGTTGCATGGCGAACTTCAAAGAGCCATCTACTACATGACATCCTCAGAGGCACGAACTCTAAGAAAGACTTGGCTAGTCTACATAAAATGAGAATTTTACCTCACATACTTACTTCACTGAGCGAGAGCATGAACTGAAACTGTGAAACATCTTATATTTGTAAATAGATATATATAAAATCTTTTGAAATCACCAGAGATAATGCTAAAATCCAGATGTGAACCTGTATTATACTATTGCTATCAAGGCCTAAACTGCTCTCAATGGGCATATAATAACTCAAGAAGACCTCAAGGCTAAAGAAAAGACTAACATTATATTGGAATAAGACTATTCCCCTCAGAAACTACTCTGCATATAGGAATCTTAGCTCAGGAATCAGGAAGACCAAGAGGAGAGAGAGCGAGTTAGTATGTGAATGAAATTGGGATTAACCCAGGTTTTAGCTTTCGATCTTTACTAAGTAAGCTTTCTTAGCAAGTAAGGCCTTATATCCTTACTCCAAGTTCCCTGTATCTCAGCAAAACCACACAAAGCTTGAAATGGACAGAAAGTATTTCCTGGACAGATACATTTGTGGAGAGGAAATTCCAAAAACCTTTTCTATTTCATTATAACAAATAGATTAGCAACTGTCACATTAAAATGTTTCAGGGTTAAAAAAATTTTTTTTAATTTTCATAGTATCAAATCTCCTGAAGCAACTTCTGGTTCAAAGTAATATGTAAATACATATTTTCACTGTACATGTACATGCATCTATGCTTAAGAAACCTCTAAAACTGTACATGAAATATTGTTGTATGACAGAATTATGATTATAATTGTTCAATGAGTCATAATATAGGCCCAGAATTAACCGTAGGAAGAATTTTTAGAAAAAACTTCACATCATTTCCCTTCCTGTGTGGACAAATCACTTGCTTGCCCAAAATCTAACCATGAGTCATTATTAGGACCATAATCACATTGTTACCATCACTGCTGCCGTTGAGCTGCCCTGACTTCTGTTGACCCAACGCACCACAGCAGTAAACATTGAGCCATCCCCACGACCGCAGACTGTTGTGGTCCACAGGGAAGTTCTATTGGCTGAAGTCCATCTCCAAGCCTGCTTTCCTAGTCTGTCTCCACTTGGAAGCACTATTGAAGCTTGCTTAGCATACCCCAGCAATGCCAGCGTCCAAGGACAGCTGGGGGCGGCTGGTGGTATGTGCCTGTGTGTGCGTGCACTTGTGTGTGACTGCACTGAGGTGCACTCCCAGGAATCAAACTTGGGTCTCCAGCATAGAAAGTAAGAATTCTACCACTGACCCAATTCCACCACTGTCCTAACATTAATTGTACTTGCCCTTCATTACAAACTGGGGAGCCATTGATATTTTTTTCCCCTCTAGTTCTCTAAAATTGTTTCATTCTGAAGATTATACATCTCAATGTAGACAATCTTAACAGAGAGCCAAAACTTAAGACAGAAGATAAATTTTAACAGGCAGTCCTATAATTGTCGAGAACAGAGTGATTTCTTAAGACTTAGCAGCTGAGGCCAGTTGTGGGTCAAAAAACTAATTCTATGCTGGTATTTGTATTTATATTTGTAATGCCTGGGGTTTAGGAAAAACCCGAACTGTAGTTTGTTCTTTGATTTGTGGGTTATTTTTAAATTAAGAATTTTACTTTACAATTGTTTAACGAAAAAGCAAACAAAAGCAAAATGTACTTGGGAAACATAAAGATAACCCACAAAACTAATTACAAGTTATGTAACAAGTGTTCCGTGTTTAAGATTACTCAAAATATTTATTCATATCCACTTAGCTTTACCAATACTTTTACACAGTATACAAGAAACCACTGCCAACTGGCATTAATTATAGTAAAAAGAGCATGGGTTCTGAGCAAATATATTTAAATAAACTAATCAAATGTGTACAAGTTTCTGAACCTCACTATTAACAATAAACATTTAAATTTTTTCATATTTACTTATCTTGTCCTTTTAAAATATCTACCTTGTTTTATAAAGTACACCCCCCCAAAAATAACTAAAGTATACAAAGCTATATTGATACAGGAACATAAAAACTCACTGCCATTGGGTCTAATGTGATTCAGTGACCCTCTGCAGGCCACGCAGCTTGGTGCGGCAGCCGGACAGCAGAGAGGAGGGCCCTGACAGAGTGGAACGACACATGGCGACCAGTGTGTTCAGACACAACAAGTGTGAGGACGACAGGCTCAGGCAGTGTTTGTTCTACTGTGCAAAGGGTCACCATGAGTCAGAACCGGCTTGATGGCACTACAGCAGCAGCAGCACAAAAACATCATTTATAAATAAATGTACGTATGTATATATGCGGTACGGTCTCAACATTTCACTTCCAGGGTTACAAGCAAATGTCTGGAACTCAATGGCCCAGAATCTAGGGACCAGCTAAAAAAAATGTCTCCTAGAATAACTTTAAAGACCTAAAGATTAGAGGAAGAAAGTTAAAAATGCCAATTATCTAACATTCCAAATGAAATATAGTTAAAAGTATTCCATAACTGACATACTTCAGAATGCTTCTGTAAAAGAAGCCAGTGGTATTCACACTTCCTCCAAACAAAAAAAAACAAAGTTACCGTTTCTGAGACTGTAACTGTTTACAGGAGGAAAAGCCCAGTCCTGCCTCGGGGCTGCTGGTGGCTTCAAACTGCTGACCATGCAGCTCCCAACCCAACGTACAACCACTATGCCCCACTGGGCCCCTTTATTTCCTAGTCAGAAAAAAAAAAAAAAAAAGCAAGAAAAGAAGAACTGCCTTATCACTAGATTGAAACACTTGAGCATTTCAGGAAACCTCCACAGTACATTCCGCTTGCATCTTAAAAAATGAATTTTATAATGTAATCTTATATGAATCATTTCACTTTCTTCCAAAACACATCTTTCCCTTTGAAGTAAGTCATTGGACCGCCCCATTCTACCTAAAGAGCTTAAGACGATGATCATACTAGAGTACACAAACCCAAGGATTCCAGATGTTCTGGCCAACTCCACTCCTGCACTGGGTAAGCTCTATGCCAGCCCCTCCTACCTGCCTGCTCACCTCCCAGCGCTGTGTCTTGGCGGTGCAGTTCCTCACCTGGTCTGAGGCATCATCACATCAACTCACTGCCACTGAGTCAATTCCGACTCTTGGCAACCTTACGTGTAGGGCAGAACGGCCCCATAAAGTGTCCAAGACTACTTCAAAATCTCTTCCCCTTCACTTCTCCAGGTCAGTTAATAGAAGTGTTCTCAGCCAACTGATGGCTCGACACTTGACTTAGTCATTAGCATGACTGAAGAGGTTCTTGACTTTCCTAGATGTCAAGAGCCCTTTGAGAATCTCAAAAAAAGTTCCGGACCCTCTCTCCCTAAAAGCACATAGGCACCCACACAAAATACTTCGGGAGTCACAAAGTCAAAACAAGGCCCTGAACCAAGAACTCTAAACCCAAGATTAATCCCTGCACTTATCATGTAAGATAATATCATAATATCGTAAAACTGCAAAACCATCTCATTAGAATTTCCATTTTAAAAGTCAATCAACCCAAACCTCTAATTGCATAAGATTAATTTTAAGACAGGATATAAAAAGTGCCCCCCAAAAAAACGTTTCTCAACAGTCTGGAGAAGAGATTTCTAGGTAGATCTGATGATAGGGGAGTCAGGAGCGGGGGGCGGGCGCGACAGTTTATGTGTTGGGCTGCTAACTGCAAGGTCAGCAATCCAAACCACCAGCCACCAGGGGCTTTCTACTGCCATAAAGAGTTGGTTACAGTCCCAGAAACTCAGAGGGGCATTCTGCCCTGTCGTATAGAGTTGCCCAGTCGGCATCAAGTACACGGCAGTGAGTTTGGTTTTTGGAGATATGGGAGTCAGCTCCCCAAACTCTTACCCTGCTATTCCCATGAGAGAAAGGTCACCTGCTATCAGTCCTACCCTTGTATTCAAGGAGCCTAATGGTATAACGGGCTAACTGCAGGTTGGACTGTTCAAACCAATGGCCACCTCCCTATATACTGAGTCTCAGGAACTTAAGAGCAGTAGTTCTTCTCTGGTTCTTGATGGCAGTGGGTTTGGGACCCTGCTATTCAAAGGAGCTCTCTCTGATGGCTCCGGGGATGAAGTGTTTGGCTAACTGAAAGGTTGGCAGTTCAAACCAACTGCTCCCAAGGAGAAGAGGAAGCTTCCATAAAGACCCCATGGGGCAGTTCTGCCCTACTTCTCAGTGAAGGGGATGCCTCACCCACCTTTGAACTTAAAAGAATAATTGGATTTCTGGGCCTACCTTCCCACTTCTAGTCCACTGCTTTAAGCAATGCTTCATGGGGATATTTCCTCATTTCCTCTTGTTCTTGGTAAGTTTCACTGCCAGCACATTAGTATTCAGTAGTAGCAACAAAACACTCAAAAGTTCTGAAAAGCAAAAACTTGACAATTATCAATGCTAAAACACAAGTCCTTAAAAAAAATATGTTCTAAATGTAAATGCATACAGAGCTCATTCTTCATGGCACCTGTGAATAAGGCTCAGCAGTTTATCCACCGAGCCTCACTCACTAGTGAAGAATATATCAACTTCTACAAGCAGCCAAATTTTTCACATTTGTAGCCACAGACACCAGCATGCATGAAGTAATCTAAATACTACAATTATGCACTAAACAATATAATTACTGTGAATCGTTGCCCCATTCTCAAACAGATGCCCCATACAAAAGCAGTTCTTATGTTTTATTTCTTATGTTTCTTGTTAAATGACCCCGCCCCCCCCAAACTCTACTGATCATCTATCAAATTATACACCAGTAGCATCTTCTCCATGCACCTATCTTCCCACCAACCCTGCCCCAACTTACACACACCTCTCATTAGACATGCCTTCCTTACATGATCCAATATACTGGGAGTTCTAAACAAAACAGGCGTATTATGGGGCATGCAGAAGACCAAATCTACTATCCAGACGATTCCTTCTGCCAGATCATTCTCTAGGAGAGGGCTGTTATTGATGTACCAGGTGCCTTAAAGACCGTGCGTTGATCTGCCTTCTGGTTCTTTGCTGTAAGTATTAAGGCAGCTCCATAAAGTCATTTTCCTGGATTTTCTTCAGTTCATATGAACTTTACATATTTCTCTTCAAGTCTAAACCATTTAGTCAGGCAGCAATGGCTAAAAGTACCAACTGCAAAACCAAGGAAGTGGGGAAACCCACCACAATCTGTCTGGTTCCTATACATATATGATACAAAATACATCAAATTTACCTATACCCCAGCCTCAAAACACAGTGGGCTTGGTGTTAATAAAACACTTCTAAAACTTAACAAGCAGGTTTCTTGTGTTCACGGAAAATTAAATTGGGGTGCACTCAATATACACCAGGAACACAGGACAGAACAGAGAACATCAGTAAACAGAATTTTCTGAATTTTTTTACAACAAAAATCGAGGAATGGCTACTTGTTGATTAATCATCCACATACTATTTTTACACATGTTCTAATAAGCATCACACACAGTTACACTCAAACTCTGAATTCAAACATCCCATTTCCTGGACTAATTATAGTCCTGCAATGGTGCAAACATTTCAGGGGCAAAATGAAACTCAACAGCCCACAAGAGGTCATCTGGTGTCCACCCACTTTGCAGCATCGCTGAGTGGACAGGGTGGACACAGCCTGAGCAAGGCCCCAGCCTGCAGACAGACATCTGACGGAAGGCAGTTAGCCCTGTTAGAGTAACTAGCCTCTAACAAAACCTTTTTGTATCCCACAAGGCCCTCCCTTCTTTTTCTTGGAAGCGTGCTTCCAGAGGGTTCATAGTCCCTCCCGACCATCAACATGCCTTCTTAAATAATGGTGACAAGGTTGCATTTTACTAATTATGGTTCATCATTTAATTCCCCAGTATTTACTGAATGTCTGACTACATGTAAGCAAAGGGGTATAACATTTAATCCCAGACAACAGGGACTTAAATCACCTATTTGTGGTTCTTTTATATCAAAACCTTCTTGAAGACAATACAGAGGTTGGCTTGAACCTACAGTGTGTACCGGCAATGCAAATTCAACAGCAGTATACCTGCAAAAGATGGAACCTGTGGAAGGTGGAAAGCTGTCAGAGACGGAAATGCAAGCATTTCCCACTTAAAGAAACAGGGAAGCGGCAAGACTGTACCTTATCAAAGGCGGAATGCTTATAAGGCTTGAGAAAACATGCAGCCTCTCCAATTCTGGGAAGGTGGCCTTAAGGTTCCTACCAAAATTGGAGATAGATGTAGAGTTATAATTAAAAACAAATAAACAAAATAACCATCTGGTCTTTCTCCTTTATTCCCTCCTATAACTGGTCAAAGTCCCACATCTCCAACCATTCCCAAGAAAACTCTTGGTTTGGGAAAAGGAGTTTTTTTGGGTGCGCTAAAGGAAAATATCACAGCTTACTACTACATTTTACTACTCATTTTCCCTCCTGTATGTTGTGTTCGAGATAGGCGAACTCAAGTCGCCATCCAAGGATTTCAAGCAGAGGTGATCCAAAAACTGGCAAAGCTGTCCTTAATTTAGCCACCAACTCTCACCCCACCCCCATCGGTCCTGTTGGTGGTTTAAATACAGTCCCTTTAAGAAAAGCTGACTTTACAACCTTTCGTGGGGGCATGCTAACTTTCTGTTAAATGACAGTCAAAATAAATCCACATATAGATTTAAACAAAGTTTAAAATGTAATACCACCGTTCATCTTTCTCTGCAGTTTGACATAGTTAATATTCTAGCCCATATCCTTTTTTATTATTGTAAAAAAACATACATGGAACACTTGCCAATTTAACTTTTTCCATGTGTGGAACTGAGTAACATCAATGAATTCTATTGCACAACCACCACCAAATTGCCCATCACCAAGAGAAACTGTTGAAAAACCGTGCCTACCTCCTATCAAGAAAAAAAAAATTTTTTTTGAAAAATAAATTTTTTTAAGGATCCTTGACAGTTAAAAAATATGCACACAATTGACACTCAAGTTAGGAATATAGTGCATTGCATGTGATAATTCTATGTTTGCCTTCATGCTCATAAAATAAGGAAATTACACTCAAATGTGCAGAAAGAAATTAAGACAAGTTTTGTTTGGTGTTCATCTTTTCACACCCTTACGAAATAACTCAAAGAACTTTCCAACATAATGCCAGGGGGTCAGGATAAACCTCAATTCAAAGCAAAACAATACCCCCACAAGCCAGCATCTCCAAGATCCTGCCCCTCCCACCCGCACCCCCCACCACCAAAAATGAGGGACCAACCTATTAACTTTCTGCTCATGACCAAAATTACGTCAATAGTCCCTCTAACACAGATGATGTCCTGGGACAAAGCTGTAAGAGATGTCCCTCGGCATCCTCATGTCACTGTCAAAGCTAACCGGCACACCCCCCCATTGCTTTACACTTTCATTCAGAGTTTCCAAGACACTTCGGAAAAACGTGGCTTTCGCTCTGGCCGGACAATGAAGCACTAATGACACCGGCTCCAAAGTAAGCAATTAATATATTTCTAATCAAACGCTTGTAACCAGGGCTGGATGCAAGCAGCGGGCTCCTCCGATGGGTGGAAATATATACATTATTTGTAGCCTTCAAAACAGTGAGCCGTTAAACAACTTCAAGCGCGGGTGGGCAGAGTCAGATGCACCGTAGAAACTTTGGGACCAGCAGCGAGGATACAACAGGTGAGCGAGGCAGTCGACATCACGGCCAAAAAGCGGAGAACCCGCAAACCCTGCGGGTCCCCGAGAGGCTGGGGCCGGGGCATGAGACCCAGCACCTGGTCCGGCCAGGAGGAGCGGTTCGGTTCCCTCGGAGGGGCGCGCCGCTGCCCCGTCGCCCGGACCCTGGGCACCACCATCCCAGGCGCAGCAAGAACCCAGCGCCCCCGTGCCCTCCCCAGTGGCAGCATCTCCGCTGGGTCAGAAAACACAATGTCGCTCCTTGCTCCTGCGTACAAAAGGACTCGGCGCCCTTCTCCGCGGACTGCCGCCTCCTAACTTGCAAGCGGTGGGCAACGCGCCATGTTCCGGCGTGCCCCGGTCCACCTGGGGAACAAGCCCACGCCGCCCCGGCGGGCAGGCAGCCTC